AATTCAGTGAACACGACTATGTTGGGTGATGCTATTTTAGATCATCATAGAAAAACTGGTCCAATATTATCAAGTTGGCGAGATATATTTCATCTGTTATTTATAATTATCTTCGTTGGATTTATTATTTACTTATTCATATGTCGAACAGGTCTCTTTCCACAACATTATTGTATGTCCACTTTTTCAAGTTGTTTTATATCTGATGTTAAAAATGAACTTCAACAACAACGTGAACAACTTCAACAACAACAAGAACAAGTACAACAATTAGTAAAACAACTTATTGAACAACAAAAAATAATTAAAACAAAACCGATAGGTCGAAGGAGACAAGATCAACAATTCATAAGATCGGGTTCTAATGAGACGGTTCAATACAACGAAGGATACATGTCCAATTAATTGGAATACATATTTATGAAGTATTCACAAACAGAACTAGATTTTTTTTCATTTAATCAAAATTTTCTTGCATGTGAACTATTTATATAATCAAGCTATAATACTCTATAATTCTTGAAATCTTCTCAAAATTCTATCATATTTCAACAAATCATTCTAATATTCCTTTATTACTTTTGATTCTAGATAATTTCCAATTATCACAACATACTTTCTTCGAATCAATTCCAACAATAATCATTCAATAGTAAGTAATCTTTTGTTTTTCAATTTGATTGAAACACGTCTACATATATATATATATATTTCAGATAATTTACAAATGGCTTCATCTTCTCATTTAACTTCAACTCAAACATCATTATCAACCCTAATTGTCGGCGTTGAACATGATGCAGTAAAACGAGATATAAATGGTTATGATACTAAAAATGATAAAGAGGAAATGAAATTGAAACAAAATAAGAATTCACATAAAGCTAAATCAAATGAAATGACATATCATTATGTACCTGTATTTGCCGAAGAAGATCAGATGAAATTCGAAGAATTATTTCCTGATTATTCCAATATTAGAAAGTCATTCGACTAATAAAACTCTATTTATAATTATCCATATTTCAGATAATGTTTGTCAAAGTATATTTTCTTTTTTCTTTTCAATTTTGCTTCCTTTTGTTTTTATTGTCAGAATCCTATATATATATATACATAGTATCAATATATATTGTTTTTATTATTATAGATTAATTACTATTAATTATCTATTAGTTGGTAAATAAAATGGATGAAGATACTATTTTACCAAATTTTCGTGTTGATGCAACATCTCTATTCACTTCGGATGAGGATGATAGTGATGATGGTGATAATAATTTAATGGAAACAACACAATATTCAACACCAACAGCACAAGAAAATCGTTTCAATCAAACACTTACAAAAGCAACAACAAATGAATTGCAAATGACTATACCACTATCTACACCAATACGACCATCCTTGGTCAGACAACGGCCTACAACAACAACAAAAGATATCGTAGTGATTGATTTGGTTACACCAAAAAAGTCACCACAAAATTTTCATCAACCAAATTATATACGACGTACAATTCATTTTTTTAATCAACAACGTCTATCAACTTTACCAACATTTCCAATTAGTAATAATGATGAAAACAATGGTTCAGATTTATTATTGGCAAATGTATCTCCTATACAATTATCACCAATAGAATTAGCACGTCGTCAAGCTGGTCAATATCAGTGTGCATTTACTATTAATGATCTAAATGCATCCGCAACATCAATGATGGTTAAAAATTATCATATTTATTATCTATCAATACTTGAACGTTTCAATGTTGATTTGTCAATTTTGGATCATAATTATGTACGTTTAAAAGATTTTCTTCAATTATTTTATACAGCTCGTATACGAATGCTTCGTTTTAATAAACGTTTACAAAATACTTCATATTTAAAGGATGATGAAATGCCATTATTATTAGAATTTTATTTACAAATGGATGTTGATCTTTTTTATATGAAAACATGTTCATTTCGTGATGCTCAACCAAGATCTAAAACAGAAGGTATATTTTGTGCAACTATACCTGAATATCGTTATAAAATAACACCATGTGGACATTGTAAATTATGTCGAACACCAATTGATATGAAATATCGTTCACAATCACCGATATTATTTAATCGTTATGGAAAACATCAATTTGTTAATCGTTATGAATCAATATTAAATTGTCCAGTAACATGTAATACAATAAATATCGTTTATGTTTTAACATGTTTATGTGGTCAATTCGATTATATTAATGAAACAGCATATAGATTAGCTAAACGTTTCGATGAACATCGTCAAAGTGCTAATATTGCTATATGTAACTTATTACTTGGCAATAAAAATGTTACAAGTCTTCAAATTAATCAACAATATGAATCATCTTCATTCGATAAAGAATATATGTTATTGTATCGACATCCAACACAATGTTCAGCAACAATACAAATGTTTTTAGATTACAATAAACATTATTGGCCATTTGTACCAATGGCCATCGAAGAAGCTAATCAAGATGATACAAATTATCAGCGAGTACATGCAACAACAACAATGTCAAATGTTCATCTAGATAGAGATATCCGAAAATATCTGAAAGCTGTTCCCAAACCACCAGCTGGTTATAAATTTTCGAAATATCAAATTGAAAAACAAGCTAAATTTTTTCAAAAATATTATATTTCTCCACCAACTAATGAACAAGTTGATCTTTATAATGCAAATATTATTGCTGTGTTACCACCAAATACATCAGATTTATTTCGTGAAATTGTTCGTTCATTATTTGTTATACATACAGAAGCTAAATTAAATACATTAGGACATATTTTTGATTCAAATATCAATCTGAATATTGGACATAGTATATGGTGTGCGAATTTAGTTCGTCGTCCCAACTCATCTATATTACAACGGCGTTAAACAAATTTTTTTCTTTCTCACACCCACATCGACACTTTGCATGCTTTCAAATAAGAAATTTTGTTTCTTTCATTATCTTTTTCGATTTCCTTGATTCATTTTAATCTTGTTATGAGTGACAATTTCGTCTTATATTTAATCAATAATATTCTATCATTTCAGATATCGATATCGAACATAGATTGAAATGGTTTATAATTTCTTTATTGGTTTATGTCTGATTCTATCAAGTATCTATGGAATTACCGCCAATATATCTGCTAATCGAACTGATGGATGTGAACATCAAATAACTTTACAACGAATAAAGAGCTTATTAAAACAATATTCCTGTGTAAACATTAAAAAAGAAAGTGATTACCATCGAATGATACCTAATATTTATGCATTTAGTGTCGATATGAAGGTACTACAAACAATTATCACTGATCACCGTACTCTAATTAGTTATTTGATAAATTATTTACATAATAATTCTGTTAATGCAACATTTGTTGCTGATGCTATTCGTAATCATCATTCAAAAACTGGTCCAATCTTAACAAGTTGGCGTGATCTAATCCATTTATTTTTTATGAGTATATTTATTGGATATCTAATTCATTTATGGATGTACCACGTTGGTTTCAGACCATGTAATCGTTGTTTATCATTTTTATCGAAATTTTTATTTGTTCGTTTCTACAAACGACAAGAATTTGAACAACAACAAAATCTATAGAAATTTTCAAGTTAAACAATGAATCTTAATCCTGTTGTTTATGGCATTCGAATATTGATTGAAAAAGACTTGTTCAACAGAACTTACGCTTATTGCATGTTTTTTCTTCCCGCCCCAATAAGATACTTATTTCATTCGTTAACATTTTAAACACACGTTCAAGTTTCTATTATTGAATATTAATACACTCTATTTCTCTTTTTATTTTAGATACTTTCTTCGAATCAATACACTTATTATTGCTTATAGCAGAAATAATTCCAAAGAAAAATATTCACTATTAAGAATTATTAAGAGTTTAGCAGTGAGTACAACTTCGAAGGTCGCAATATCACCAACACAATTACAATTATCGTCGTTGAGTGGCGCCGCAGTGGAAAAGTCGAGTACACCATTGACATGTCAATTAGAATGTATTTCGACAATCGGTTGTATTTCGAATCCACTTCCAAGATTATCCAATAACGTACCGGTCAATAATGAGGTGGACAGCTCTTCTCCGGAGACAGTTGCACCAGCAACTAGTTCTTCGTCATCGGATTTGGCAAGTTCGTCAAATCTTTTGATGAACAATAGCAGCATCGAAGCTGATCCAAATGCAACAACAATTGTTCAGTCGAAGTCTGGCAGTCGTAGTGATCCACATTTAACAACGCAACAGTCGGTTATTTTCCATCGTCCTAAAATAATGGATCATCGACATTTTGAAAGACATGTTAGAAATATAATGTCTCGACGAACATCTCGTGGCCAATTCAATCATAAGGAGCTGGAAAAGATGCACCAACTGGCCAGCTATTTCTTAGACTTTCGTCTACGACAAGCCATCAGAGACGCTCAGGATGATTTTAATATTAAATTTGGTTTTTGAAATAAATCAAACTTTTTGAACATTCTTTTCCTTGGTTCTAGTCTATGTTTGAGCTTGCATGCCTAAAGTTGCAGTTTAAGAATCATAAGTTGCCTGGTTTCTATTGTGCTTTTTTTTGGGTATATATATATATATATATGCTGTCTCTCTTTCACTATGAGATCTTGATTAACTTTTCAACATTAAGTGACATCCTAGGCTTAATCGACGAAGTCATCATCTCCAACAGGAACAGAAGTCGTTTGTCTCCTATTCACTGAGATCTTATGTTTGCTGGAGAAGTGTTTAGAAAAATTTTCTCGAAATGGCTGTGCTAATCATCGGGATGGAGGAGTTCAATCTGCTTGAATAAAAGGACATCTATTTCATGTCATTGTGACAGAGTAAATGTGGTTAGTATAGTACACTGTATTTTTTTTCATGACCTTTGTGCAAGAAGATTGTACGCAAGATATTCGTGAGAGTATCCACGTATGTGCTTCTGTTTAGATTCATTCCGAATAAATTCATGGAAGAGACAGTTTGTTCCGACCATACATAAGGAAAAGTTCAATGGGTATTCAGAGGTCTGTTTTGAAACGATTGTATGACAGCTCCAATTTTTGCACAGAATTCTACGCCATTGTTGAACGATCATTGACACGATTGCATTTTTCTACTGACTGATCATCTTCGCGTTGAGGTAGAGTTGCTTACTATAATATGAGGTCATATAGAGTGAAGATAATCAAATAGTTCACATTAGCCTTCAAAGGAGAATGTAATGTTCATGTGGATTTTTTTAATGATTTAATTGGAAATCAGAATGAACCGTCCATCATTGGAATAATATAAATGCTGTGCTTCGCACCGCATTAAAAAAACTCGCGAAGGACTACATAAATGCTCCTGCTTCGCAGGGCATTAAATAGTGATTGAATATACGATTGTTTAACAATATTTGTTTATCATACAAACGAATATTTCTATCGATCGAGGGATGAATGTTTTTCTTTCTTTTCTATATTTAATCTTATCGAAGACATTTATTTACATGCACATATTAAACGATTTAACGGATAATCAAGATAACGATCAACTGTATCATTTGGATAAATTTAGTTAAAATCAAAACGAATAAAAGCTAAAACAATTTATTTTTTTAAATTTTATTTACCTTGGATTGCTTTAGGATCTATATATATATAATATTCACTGTGTGTCTGTGCCATGTCAAAGGTTATAAGACAGTAAACTATAAGAAGGTAAGGTCAAGGGAGAAAAAACTGATTTAAATCATCCAAAAATCAAAATTAAATCATTTTAAATCATGTGAAATCATGTGAAAGAATGAGTTTTGATGATTTTAAATGATTTAAAAATTATTTTAAATCACAAAATCACAAATCACCTTTTCCCCTTGAGCAAGGTACAGGAGTATAATAAGCCCTCAAGGGCTATCCTATACTGCACCCATAGTCTTCAAGAGCTATTCTATGGGGATACCCATAAGTCCTCAAAGGTTATTCTATGGGGTACCCATAGTCCTCAAGGCCTCTCCTATGGGAGTATCCATAGGTTATCAAGGGCTATTCTAGGATGTGGGTGGGTGTGGGTGTGGGTGGACTGCGAATGTGGGCGTGGGTGTGGAGTGTGGGTGTAAGGTGTGAGTGGGGTGTGAGCGTGGGTGTAGGTGGGTATGTGGGTGTGGGCGTGTAGGTGGGGTGTG